TTGGATATGAGTAAGGTTGTTCATCTTTTACAGATTATAATGATCATAGAAGCAATTGATAAATAACTTAATAAATAATTGCATGACTGGTAATGACGTGCTGAGTATAATAAATAGTGTTTTTTTTATTTAAATAATGCTCAATAATATCGACTTTCGTGCCACTGATAAAATTGTTAATAATCATTCACAATAATTCAATAATCAATCGCGACAAATAATAAATACTTCACAATGATATTTGGCGGTTCCCCCACTGTCTCCACTTCAGTTCAATAAAAAAAAAATACAATATCAATAATAATATAATAGTGATATTTTTCAGTAATAATCCTGGCAATTTAAGAAAGGCAATAATAGTAATAAATATATAAATTTGTTTTTTCTTCTTCAAAATTATTTTTCCCTCGTCTCATTTCTATATCAATAATAATCCATCGATAACTAATAACTAATCATTGGGATGACCTCACGCCGATACCTGATTCATTTTTAATCATTATACCCTCCTTAACTCCCTACACAATAGAACGAATGATTCATTCCATTATTTAGACGCAAATACAAAGTAGCAAAGGTATGTTTTTTTATTTTTTTTTTTATCATTTTTTTCATTCATCTTTTCTGTTATCATTAATAATTAATATGTTACTTCAAGAGGCCATGACTAGACATTCAATCGTTTACAAGTTAAATGCGCTTACAATTTAATAACAAGATGTCGGCGTGCGACACCATCAAAATGGCCGACGCAAAAACACTCGAACTTACGTAATACTACAACCTTACTTTCAATATTCTTTTTTTATTTTCATTTATTTATTTTTTTCTCATTTAACTTTACTTAAACATTAACTTAATACTTTAACTCTCTAAAAATTACTCAATGATTCTTTTCATCATTTTTCTCACCATTCTCCTCAAATATAATGCGTTATTCTCTTTCGCCACTTAGAAGGGGTGGCTGGGGGGGGGGTAATGATAATTAATTGAATGAAGTAATGATACGCTCAGCTAACACGATTACACAGACAATTGGAATACTGGAGGCGTTTGTTTCTTTCCCTTATCGATTAGATTAGGTTTACAGCTGGATTATCTCCAGAAATATTAGTGAATTCGGGCGCTCCAGCCCGCGGAATGATATTTATTCTCCTCGAAACAAACCCTAATCTAAAAATTATCCGTAACTCTAAACACTTATCGATTTAGAGGCTATACACCCGTGAATAATTAACCATAAAACCAATGAAATTGTCACACCTAACTCGGGGCACCACATCATCACACATCTGCATTTACACACTGATAATGACTTGCAGTAACAGTTTATGCTCAACAAGTCCACTGGGTATCGGTGAATCTCAATACCAAGCCCCTCAACTAATCCCCTCAGTGGCAGAAACAGCCAAAATGTTAACTATTAAATGTCCTCTTTTAATTCTCTGTTTGATTGATTGTTGGAATAAGCATTGTACAGAATAATTACGCGTTGGCTGATCGAAAAGTCCCACTAGTTCTTATTACTCTTTGATTTTTCAGTCTTACCGAAGATTAAAGCATGCGTTTTTCTTAAATATACATTCAATATGTTTGAATTTTTGTTTGTTGTGCCAGAGGGAGGGGAATGGGCAGGTGGGGCGTGTGATTTTTTACGTTTGTGGACGCATTTCCGTTGACGAAACACGATTTGTGTTGTTTGTTGTTCGTCGAACGGTGTGATTTTGGTAGTTCAACAATGTGGGAGGGTCCGCCTGGGGTTCTGATACAAGAATAATTGAATCGGTGGCCCTCTGGGGGTTGCATCGAGGTCACTGATAAAATTCGATGAATCCCCGTGGTGTCACTCACTTGTTTGGGCTAAAATTACATTTGTGCAGCTCTAGATATTAAAATTTGGCTCATTTTTTTCAGTGATAGCTGGGCTCAGAGCTGACGTCGACGCAACCCCAAGCAGTTTAAAAAGTTGAGAGACTTCCTCTCGCTCTCCCTCTCGTCGTCGATCGACAATTTGATACAAGTTCAATTCACTTATAATATATATACCATATATATGTGGATATAGTATATATACTACGCACATTAATATGTATTCCACTTAGGTACTAGTAAACGACCACTCGCACTACAAGCGAAATAATTAGTTCAGTATTATTACTCCAATCAATAGGATTAAGTACCAGTGGTTTTTAGAAGGTATTTTTCTTTAAGTCTATACGATAACTAGGCATGCAACAATATGGAGCGTTACGATTTAAAAATAGTTGTCCAACTTTTAACCCCTCGTTTATCAAAACTTTTGCGCATCTTTTGGATTTTATTTCTCGTGTTTTTTCTTTAGTTTTTCCTTTTGACATTCTCTCAAATAGTGTAACAGTACTTGGGCCCGGGAAGAGTGTATTCAATTATCAAAGAGTCGCCGCGCGCCGCTTACTCAAGCTCATCAAACATCGGTTTTATCTCTTACACGCAATATTTTTTTTTCCATTTGGATGTTTTTTTTCGCTCGTCGTGGGGACGAAATTTTCATACGTCTACGATAAAATCCGCTGAACGTGTCGTTGCAATTCACGGCGTCCTCGGTACATACACATGCGAACGTACAAAAATATATATGTCATCTATTCGAACGCTAATACCTAAAAAACGTCGTTATAACCAGTAATTCATTTTTTTTATTTTGCCGAGCGCCAGAATGCAATAGTTTTTTTTAATCATAGTATGAGTTATAGTCAAAAACACCCTCAAATCGCCGCCAATTTGTCCTCAATGGGCTCTTTTTTCTGAGGTTTTTGGGGGGTTTACTCTCAGATCCTCGGTTGCCTGGTATTTTCCGGGGCTGTACACACTCGCAAGCACTGAGAGTAATTAACTCGAGCCTTTTTTTTTCATAATTTTTACTGGGGATTTATTTCATGTTTATGTTTGTGGGCTGTGGCTTTTGTTCGTTGTTCGGTATTTTATGGTGTATTCTCTCTAACGAGAAATCCACAGCGAGTGAAGATCGTCAAAATTTTATGATTGCAACGAGTGTGTACGGCAGCCCTCGCGGGGGTTAGCAGTGCTTTTTTTTTTCACTCGGCAACCCCAGCACTCGGAGTTTGTCCAGTCACCTTTTTTTTCCACCGTTGGTATGCGTTTTATTTTTACATGTTTTCACCGGTATTTTTCAGGGGAAAACATTTCTCGTTTCTCTCGTGTGTGCGAATGAGAAAAAATAAATCACCAGTTTTTGATGGTAAAAAATATGGGGATGTGCGTGCATCGTTGGGCTCATTCGCATTGTTTATGGCTTTTTTAGGGGAGATTTATACCTCGGGAAAGACTCACGTGCATTCTAATCACTTGCTGGTGGGGGGGGAGGGGGGAATTAATTAGGGGGGATTTTCTGGTTCAATGAAGTCATGATTTGTTTCATTGAAAGAATTAGGGTTTTGGTGATCTTTGGAGGGAAATTATTTTGTAATGCATTCATTGCATTGTATAGTTTATAGGTGACAATGCCATCGTGAATTAGGAAGAAAATCTCAGTGAATAATAGCAAAATTTAATAAAGTTGAAAAAAAATTGAGAAAGAAAAAAAAAATTTTGTCAAGACAAAAAATGTCGGGGAATATTCGAATATCCTTCGAATGTTTCGCATTGTTTATCGTATTTTATTTGCAATTTTGTACCTTACGAGACTCACGGGCATTATTATCAATTGCAGGTAGGGGAAAAAAATTAATGAGTGGGAGATTTTCTTATTTAACGAAATCGTGATTTGTTTCATTGAAGGAATTATTCTCTCGTTGATCATTCGATGGAAATTATTCCGTAATGCATTTATTGCATTGTATATTTGGTAACTGAAAATGTAATTGTGAATTGGGAAGAAAATCTCAAGAAAAAATAGCAAAATTTAATAAATTAAAAAAAAATTATGAGAAAAAAAAGGTTTTTTTTCGAGACAAGAAATGGTGGGAATATTCGAATATCCTTGGATTTTTTCGCATTGTTTATGGTATTTTATTTGAACTTTTATACCTTGGGAGACTCACGTGCATTCTAATAATCACTTGCAGGTGGAGAACAAAATGAATAAGTGGGAGAATAATTATTTCATTTGTTTCCATGAAATAACTATTCTCTCGTTGATAATTGTATGGAAATTATTTTGTAATGCATTGTGTATTGTAATTAAAAATTTAGTTGTGAATAAAAAAAAATGTCAATAAATAATACGAAAATTGAAAGCAAAAAAAAAGAAATTTTTTCTTTTTTTGGACAAAAAATATCCGAAAATATGCGAATATGTTTCGTTTGAAATTTTACACCTCGGGAGACTCCCATGCATTTTAATCACTCGCAGAAGCCCTAAAATTTAATGAACGACGGAGATCTTATTCAATGAAATAATAATTTGTTTCGTTGAGAGACTTCTCTCATTAATAAATAAAACACATTCGAAAGTAAAATAGCGATTTAAGAAAAATTCCATAAACAATATCAAAATAGAAAGTATAAAAAAATTCTACTCATTACTTACTTGTAAATAAAAAAAACACGTTGGAATGTTCACACAGCATTCATGTAACCTCGAGTAACAAGCTCCCTCAAAGGTGGAAAATGCAATGACTAGATACAGTAATACTACATATGTAAAATCAAAGGTAGATGGAATGTACGAGAAATCACAAGTTGCAGTAAAAAATTGAATCACATGTGGGATGTATGGAACATGAAAGGGTTCAAGTGTATGAAATGAAACTGGCAAATGAAAAAAAAAGAGGAAAAAAAACCTTCAGCATTTCTGAGGTTTTTCAAATTGCGTGAAATTCATGGAAACATGAGTCCTCATCGATATTTCCACCTCAGCATGAAGTCTCACAGGATTTGAAAACGATTGGAAAGTTGGAAATAGAGTGCGGGAGGACGGGTCCATCAAAGAGAAATGAAAAAAAGACAATCAGGATGGAAAAAAAAATCCAGTAGAGTGGAAAAAAAAACACAATGCCAAGTAATATGAACTGAAAATATTATTAAAAAGCATTTTACAACAAAAAAATAACTAAAAAAAGAAACAAACAAAAATACGATTTACATTTTTAAATTAAGAACAATTCGGTTGTATCCATTAAAAATAATAACATAACAAACCGTACAAAAAAATGAAGTTGAAAGAGAGGTTTTCGTTGTTTTGTTTTTTTCTTAATTTTCTTTTCATTTATATTAATTACTGAACAACGCTAATGTTCTTCTTCTTTTGTTGAATTAATTATCGAAAAATTATCTTAATTTTTGTATTTTGTTTTGTCTTTTTTTTTGTCTATCGCCAACCCATTTTAATCACGGGCTGATGTCTCGATGGCTAGCTGGCGCTGAGAAATTTCACTAATGATTGTTACATTGAGTTTAATCATCGCTTGTAATTGATGGTGAATTTATTCTCTACGTTTTGCATTACGTTTATTTTGTTAATGAAAAAAAATCACGTTTGCTCGAGGGGGAGAGAGAGAGAGCCGAGGGCAGTCCCACGTCGTTCATCGAGTATAAAAACTAAAGTACAGGAATAAAACGTTTCATCTCATTATCAGTAGGAATTTCAATTGGAATAAGAACGAGCTGTCAAGGAATTTCCAAGCAATCCCCTCCCCCCCCTGAATTATAATTATTCCCTAAAATAAATTTGAAAATATTGACAAATTGTTGTATTAATTCACTATCAATTACTCCCCCCATACACTACTCACTTTCATGAACTCAAAACACCAGTAAAACATAATGTTCCATCAATTACTTAACCGCTGAATAAATAAATTACCGAATTATCTTTAATGCTTGTTTAACGCCACTTTGGTGCAATTAACTAATACAGTAACAATCGTAATCGACTGATAATCAGAAATTTAATCATTGTTTTTCATTTTAATTAATAATTTGAGGTCATGGAGTGAAAATAAACAAATATTACTCATATGCACACAACACACACGCGTGAAAAAGAAATAATCATAGATATAATGATAATTAATGTAAATCAGAGTATTTGATTCAATAATTTATGTACAAAATGGTGTCACTGGACCTGATAAAGTGCCTTTATAAACCAGATTCTGCTTCATTTCGTAAGTACATGAGAATTTTCATCAAAAATTTACTTCTAATCGGTCACCAATGGGAGATACTGAGATTGCAACAATGAACAGAAACTCATCACTTGTGAATAAAGTATTGGAAAAAAATCAGGGCCCCCGAAGGGACTCGGGGGAAAAAGAGATTTGAAATTTTCCGGTCGTCTGACTCACTCACTCGAGCGTCCTGAATCGAGGTCGCACGTCGACTCGGGACTCTCGGGATTGAAAAAAGAAAGGGAAATAATCTTGGGTGACGGAAAAAAAAAACATTGCCATACTTTACTCAAAATGACAAAAATAAAGTGAGCTCTTTCAACTTTATCTTTGATAGTCGGCATTGATTTCCTCGCTCCCTTCAAGTAAAACTATTGAATTCAGAGAATAAAGATTTGTGTGAAAATACCAAATAAAAGACCTATTTTTCATCACTGCTCTTGCCAGCTAGCCTCGGCAGTCTTATTGATTGAACCCTAGGATTTTCAACTATTTTTCACCAACTAAATTTACTCAATTCCTCAATTTTAAATCAAAGACACCAATAATTTTGGGGCAGTGACACAATTGATCGTGAAATTAATAAAATAATACAATAATTAATAATACTAATACAATAAAAAATACACAATAATTAATGATTGTAAATTGTTTTAAACATGCATGAAGTCTAAACAAACCAAAACTTTCATATCATATTCTTGTCGCTCAGTTCACTCGACTCATCCAACAAAATATATTAATACTATTTCTTCATCATTTTTATTTTCGTTCAATTGTTTTGAAAAAAAAAAAAAAAAATTGTGTGAGAAATTAAAAAATACTACCTAACGACGTTTCACTCAACCAAAGTCCTATTCTTTCTTATCTATCCTCAACACATACTATTTCATTCCTGAATCGGTGTCTTAGACAAGTTAAATCGTAATGTATACTAAAAAATTCAATCGAACAAAACAAAATTCATAATGAAATTAAAAAAAAGTCATTCTAAATACGAATAGTGGTCAGCAGTCGCGTTGAATGATAATTGACGGGCAAGGAGTAATAATACAATTGATAACAGGGAGAGAAAAATAATTGGAGAATTCCTTAAATGTTACTTAATCCTCTCGCATTTCATCTCAATTCCACTACGATCTACCAACTACAATAGGCGACGCCGGGGCAAAACGGACACTTCAGAATTTCTTACAATTTCTTACAAAACCCAGTGCAATTGTTGATGAGTCGGAATAATTGTTGGTTCAACTAATCAATTAATTCCCGCCTTATGGGCATTAAAAAAATATCTCAAGTGTCCACTGTGCCCCAGCCTCCCAACTACATTGTGAGGAAAATAAAACAATCAAACAAACGGGCCTTCATCGGCCCTGGGGGGGAATAAAAAAATAATTAAGCACACGGTGAGGAGTAACCGAAGAGGCATCAGGAAGAGTTGATCAATCAGAAAACAATTTTTGGTCAATTTTAAATGAAAAACTACTCAAACTCAGCCAGATCGTCTCCCCATCACTCCCACATGACTAAAACAATCCTGAAAAAAACTAGAATGTCACGTGGGACTTGTGCACTGAAGACTAAAGTGAAACTTACAAAAGAGATAATAGTTCAAAAAAGAATAGAGATAGAGAGAAAAAAACCACTACTTTGTTGATTGGACATTGTCCATCTCGTCTTTACCATCTAAATGCAAAATTAAAAATTAAAAAAAAAAATGGAGAAATTACAAGTCTCAGCAAACGAGGGCTGTTCATCAGCATTCGAGGGCGCTCTCGTCCGAGGTATAACACATTAAAAAATAATGATCGAATAATATTATCAATAAACAACTAATCATATATCAGGGGAATTGAATAGATCAACTAAATGAAATCAACGATCAGCCTTCGTCGCTCGCTGGACGAAAATAATTCAGTGGAAATAATAAATCGATGACTACCCAACGATTGACGCGCGTCTTAGGAACTCGTTACATGACGATGAGCATTATAATGAAAACAACGTAAATCAGGATGGGTCAAGAGTCTTGACCTTCATTCCGTGTTTATGCTCGTCCTTTGAAACGAGAGGAGCAAAGAAAAAAAAAATTCAAAAATAGGGGTTGAGGGCTGCAAAAAAATGTGAATGGAAGGTTTTTCTTTTTTTTCTTTTTCATCTTCGTCCTCTCCTCGACCCACTCGGCGCACACGAGAAAAGTACGAGTGGTTATATTGAGAAAACAGTGGGATTATAACGCAAACGTGGCTGGACAGCGTTTTCACGAGGGCTCTCGAGATGAGGGAAAATGTTACGGGGGATGAGAGAGAAAATAATAAATCGGGGGCAGGGGGGGGGAGGGATGGATGGATAGGGACACGCTACGACAGTTTACCGGTGATTAATGACAGTAAAAAATAATATTGGATAAACATTTTGTCGTTTCCAGAGACTGTCGAAATGCACAGATTCTCATAATTCCGAAAAATCGCTACCAGACGCTCTTTCGGTGGGAGACTGAATTGAAAATCCCTGGAATGTTCAAGTGGGATAAAACGGCGGGAGGAGGGGGGAGAGGGGGAAGGGGCAATAACACGGTAAGAATTCGGGGGGAAAGTGACTAGCGGCGGCGAGCTCTACAACTAAACAACAACAACAGTATTTTCAGTTATAACAACATTAACAAGTAAGTTTTCGCGCGTGTGTACGTGTTTTTCATTCATTGTCTCGGGTTATTTTTCTTCATTTTTTTTGTTTGTGTCTCCGAGTCCGCCTCTCCTATCGTTTTTTTTTTTCTAATTTAAACCTTCACATTTTTTTTTTGTGCGTGTGTCAGGGAATTACTCATTCTCAGTCCCCTCAAGTTAGAAGAGAAAAATAAACAAATTACAAAAAAAAAAAAACGAACATAAAAAAAAACAGATAAGTTCACTGGCAAAAAATTCACAGCGTGGATGAGGCGTCTTGACGAGTATCCCTGGCGGCGCGCGTCACTTTGTTATCAGCATGTGCCTGATGATAATCGATGTTGCAGCTAGACTGTGAACGTCTACCAGTTGCTGATGAGATCGTTGGTAAATTACGATGCAATTGTGATTTGTATTTATCACACTTTTGTCTTGTTGAATTATCGTCAACGTTTTCACTTATTGATTTGAAATATTGTAATTTTCCCTTGTACGTTGACTCACGATGAGCCTGCGCCCATCATCCACGGCTCTACATGCCAATTGGTGGTACTTGTACATAACGATATATATAAAGACGATAATCCTTGCTGGCAAGTACAACTGAGCCATCATCCATAAGTGCAACATCAAAGCACTGTGCATGCTTGACTTTGCTCTCAAGTGCTGACACAAGTTGTCCCTCTTGTGTAAATATCGTTAAATTGAAATTATTGTGATTATCAGCAATAAGTATTTCACCAGCTGCATTGATACCAACGCCAATTGGATAATTTGTTATACCCTCACCCCCAATTTGACGCAGATAAGCACCCTCATAATTGAATACCTTGACACAGTGTGCACGATTATCACTGATGAATATCTCCTGTTTGTCATTAACAACAACACCATTTGGAAATTCAAGATGCTTTGAGCAGCCAAATTTCTGGAGTACATTGCCAGCTTGATCGAATATTATAACTCTCATAACTTTACACTCAACCACAACAATACGTCCCTTTGAATCAACAGTAACACCGCGTGGATGTTGAAGTATATTGGCACCAAATTTACGTACAAATTGTCCATACTGATTGTAAATCTGTATCTGATGTGTTGGTGAACGTTCAGTAACAATAATATCACCAGACGGACGTACAGCAGCAACACGATTTGGATATAGCAATTGTCCATCGCGTTTACCACACTCGCCAAATTGAAATTTGAAGCGTCCCTCTTTGTCGAATATCTGAATTCTGTGATTATTGGTATCAGCGACAATGATATTTTGTGCATTAACAGCAACCCCAGATGGCTCAGTGAATTGTCCCTCCATCACCCCAAATTCACCGAATTTACAGTGATATATCATCTTCTGTCGTTTGATCTGTGATTTAGGTGGGAATATAGCAGCAGCCGACATGAGCTTCGACGTAAGATCGAGGACGGAGTCGGTTGGTCCATTCGTCGTTGTCATTGAGAAATGATCGTTTGTGGTTACTGTGTATGTATCACTCCCACCGTTGCTCCATTTCTCGTATGGATTATTCATGCCATTCAGATTGAGATCACTGATTGTTGTTGAGAATGGACCAAGGCTGTTTACAGAGCTAAAACGTTTGGATATAACGTTACTCTCGAATGACGGTGGCGATGTTGATGCACACGTTGAGTTTGATACAAGGCCATTGCTGTAGGGTCTGTCAAGTAGTAGACCACCCAGTGAGCCAGCGCTGCCTGGTCCACTGCTTGCATTGCTACTATTGCCACCACTTGATAATGCTGTTGGTCTTGCTATTGGTGGCTGTTTACTCGGTCCAACACTGTTGCTGTCTGTGCTACTTCGTACATAACCAAATGTATTTCTAACACCGACCTGAATGGCCTGATAATTGCTGACAAATTCAAGATCAGCTGATTGAGTGGAAATGTCGGGTGTGTAATTGAGAAGAATCTGTAGCTTCGAGTCAAGTAGTTTCTTCACCATTAGCACTTCAGTTATGGTTGTGTACTTGGTTAATTTTTCAACAAAGTCACACGTCTGTTGGATCTTGTCAGCCATTTCATTGGCCTTCTGCGTTACAACACCGAGGGATATCTGTTTGGCGGAGAAAACAGATTCAAGCTCTTTGAGTAGCTCTTGCTTGCGTTCCTCGAGCATTGAACGATAGAATTGAAATGTATCGTTAATCTCATTCTGTGCTTTGTGATACTGCACTTGAAGTCTTGCAGCACCGTGGTCAGCGGCTTTAACAGCGGCCCTCACATCCGCTGCTTTGGCTCTACAATCAGCGACTGCTCTTGCAACCGACTCCAATTGTTGTGGTCCAACTTCGGAAATGTGAACGCAGTCGTGTAGCGAGCCAGGATGATCTGTTATTGTGCATTCCTTGCATACTGGCACTGTACAAGCACGACAGAAGTATTTCAGCAATTCTGTCTTGTGACGTGGACAGAATAATGCTTTCTCACCGTTTGTACCATTACCACCGCTTATCACGAGATTTGTTCGTGATTCAGCGCTTGATTCCATCTTAGAATCACCGAGATTTAGGACTCTGTGTCCCTCGAAGCAGTGCATAAATTGATGCGCCATAACGCAATTTGGACAGAGAAAATTGGCACAGTCGAAGCAACGTGCCACAGCGTCTGATTCTGTTGATTTACAACCTGTGCACCTTACGCCACGTCCAAGACGACAGTGACAGGTACCGTCACCCGGTTTACCCGAGTCAAGGCAGATATCGCAACTGTCAACGTCACAGATAGCCGAATCACTTGCTGGTGGTGAGCTCCCGCTAACGGTTAGCGGGGACAGTGATACCAGGGAGCCGAGGGAATTTGCGCGTGATTCCAACGAGGGTGTCGGGGAGGCCATCTTCAGTCAACCGGCATCCCTGCAACAATAAGAAACAGCACATTAATACATTGTTTGGAAGATCAGTGATCGTGAATTAGAAGGAAGTTGATGATTTGTGTACTTTTCTGTTTAATGTTGAGTGTGTTTGGCTGAAATTGACGCTAGACACCTGGAAAGTTGTCATCACATTACAGCTGTACTAAAATTTTGGTGCAGTTATTTGGAGAAAATTAATGAAGAAAATCAGATTCATGTTTTAATTGAGAATTCAAGTAAACTGGGGAACTCTGGTGGAATGTCAGTGTATATTTTGTGAAATTAGCAACTTCAATGTTTTCCAACACTGCTGAAAGAATGTGTAAAATCCCTGTGAGAGCCCATCCGTTTGACATTGTGTCCTTCAAGGACAATCACCACACGACATACGTATGTATCCTCCCGCATACACTCGACCCTTTAATTAAATAGCTCTCTCGGTCCCCTTGGTTATGTTTCACTCGAGCGACCCAGCACATCCTGCTACGAAAGACAGGCCAAACACACGAGGCTATGTTGGCAGAAGAGAAAGACCAAGGTCACAAGCACCGAAGGTTATCGCTCTCCCATTTGCCCTCCCCACCATCCCTCAGGATGATTTTTCTCTTACCCCAAGTTTCTACGTACTGTCTCTGTAACGCCCGCATTCGAGTCTTCTCTTACCCGAGTAGATTTACGGTGGCAGTGACATGACTGCGGATCGTTAATATTTTTTTCTCCTCTCTCGTCCTCGTTTTTTTTTTTTGGATAGCGGGAGGAGAGACCAAGGAGCTGGATCCTTCAGGAATAGCGAAGCGCAACGCTTCTGCATGCTTGTTCAAGTTACAGTGCAACATTCGGCCAAACCTCGACCTTCGTGCAGGAATTCAACGATGCAAGCGCGAGATAGAGACAAACTTACACTGGATTTCTCCACTTTAAGACTTGAAAGGGAGGGGGGGGAATTGGATGGCTTCGGAGAAGTTAGAGATTGAGATGAAAAGGAAAAAGTTTGGATTATTCTTTCCATTTGCATTCTTTTAATCCAACAGTTGAAAAATTTTTCTCTGAAAATCCTCCTCTCATCCGACAAGTTTTGCTCCCCCATTCTTTTGGCTTCTCAAGTACATTGGAATACTCATAAACTTGAGTGTTCTCGCAATTTCTTTTTTTCACCATCTTGTTGTTGTTTTTCTTCAACGATAAAACTGGAGTGAGAGGGGGGGGGGGGGATATAGGGAAGTGACGAGACATTCTCGTTTTCTCTGTAAGTGTCTTTTCACTCTTTTCTCTTGGTGCAAGAGTTGAATACTTGAGATCTTTCAGTTACCTGAGTTTTCACCAACTACTCGACAACTGCGGAAATACCTTGAGCATCGGAATCCATTCCACCCCAGTTACCGAATTGCAGGGTAATCTCTTTTTTTTTTTCACTCAACTATTTTTTTTCACTGAGAAAACGATGAAACGGGGGAATGAGGTACTTTATTCCCACGACTTGATCCATAGCTCTTGTTGCAGTATCAGTGTTTCTTTATTTGGAGGGGGAATGAGGGGATAGCGAAGCGAGGGAAAATCGAAATTTAATATTTTACAGAGGTATTAATGATGGATGAGGGCATGGAGGTCAGTCAATTTCCTCAATGGAGTGCATTGTCAAGCTTTCTCAGTTCTACACTTTATCATTCTCGTTTCCGAGTTTTTTATGCCCTCAAAATTTTACGATATCCAACATTCATGCGGCAGTTCTCACTGGGCTAGTGCCACAACTCGTAAACTGAAACACAGATGGGACCGTATTTAGCAAAGAAGCTCTGCATAAAACTCCCAACTGTCGGCTTTGGATTTTCTTTCTTCGTGCTGCGCTCTGTTTCCATCAACATTTTACCCACCCACATCTATCTCCCTGTCGTAAGACTTTTCAGAGACCATTTCAACGTACCAACAGAGTAAATAACTTTTTGCATAACCCGAGGGGTCCCCGTGTATGCGAAATAGGATTAAACCGTGTGGACAGCGTCGAGCTGTTGGGTTTTTTCTCTTTTTTTCCTGGGAATGGATTTTTTTTTTTTTTTGAGATTCTACGCGGCAGGATACAGGCGAATATGGCGCTTTCTCGTGTGTACCTCGGGGATTAGTTTTACGAGAACGCTCGATGAGAGGTAAAAAATTGAGGCGCAAATGGGGCACTCAATTAACCCGCCCTGACGTAAATTGTGTTTTTTTTTTTTTCATTCCTGTTGAAAACTGGGAACAAAGTCCTCTATGCCTTTCACGTCGTCACTGTGGAACTCTGGTTAATGCATCTCTCTCGCAATTTTTGGATTAAAAAATAGTCGCTAAAATGGGGCTTAACATTATTCTTGGGCTTCATCGGAATTTTTTCGATTTAAAAACATGATGCGTGGCTTGACAGTAGAGGGAAAGAGAGTTTAAATGGACAGGGGAAAAATTGAGTTTCACTCTGGTGCTGCTGGTGACGTGCTAGGATGAAAGAGGAGACAGGGTGGAAAATCATTACGTGCAACAATAGCTCACAAATTCACCACAATCCCCTCGAGGTGTTACTGAGAATTTTTTTTTTCTTCCCCACTTCAATTGCGAGTCGAGTTCCTTTTCTATTTGCGGGGAAAAAGTTTCCCCGGGGGGAGGGGACGGGAAAGGGGGTTTTTCTCTCCTGTTCAAAGGAAAATTATAGCTCTTCCTGTCGTCCACACCTACCACCCACCACTTTGATCTGTGATATTCATGGGAGAGGGAAACCACAGCTGTTTCTTGACCTTCGGGGGATAAAAAGTTTTTTCCGCGATTCTGAGGAAGTCCGTACTGATAACAAGTCTTTTTGTAGGGGGAGGGGGAGTTGTGGGGGTGTGACACGGATTTCAGGGAAGTTTGGAAACAGTGCGAGTAGAGAATTTATCGTGTTTGTTTTATATGAAACACGTTATTTATTACTTAAAAACTAGAGATGAATGGGAAAAAGACGAACTGTTTTGCCCCCGTATTTCTCGAAATGTTGCAAAATGAAATTAATTTTCGTATTTTCACAGCGTAAATTGAATTTTAACAACAAAAAAAAATTATGATTTCGAATGTAAAAATTGATGTCATGAAAAGATGAGTTTTTCCTTCGTATTGGGGCAAAACGGGTCTTTTTGTTTAATTTTTTGAAAATGCTTCAATTTTGTTGTTCTAGACCCAGAGAATTAGTTTATTTAAGGCAAATAAATTTTTGGTTGGAATGAATGAATTATTCATTTTATTTAAGATATTTCCATTGAAATAAATAGAAGAGTTTATTAATTTCCACGAAAAATATTGGTGAATTGAATGTGTTTTGTGTCAAAACAAAATATTTATTAATTTTCTGAGGAATTTATCAATTATTCGAAATTTCTATTTGAAGTGTCATTTAAATTTATAACAATTCCATAAGTCTATCCACTCCAGTTGTGAATTTTATACCCAAAGTATCACTTTTATTCAAAGAAATCACCCAAACTCGAGAATAACCTCAGTGTAATTATTTGTAACTCAGGAGGATCGTTAACGCGATGCAAAAGGATGAAAAAAAAAAAAAAAACTTGTATTCGATTGAAATTCGTTATTTCTCTGATTAATAAATGAATACCAAATTATGCCAAATTGTAACACTTGAATATTTCGTGAATTTTTGAATTCCTCATTGACTGCAGTTCACTTTAATAAACGATACTAATCCGTCATTGTTTGGCCACTCCCGAAATTTTAAAAACTTAATCCATTGAATTCTGAAACTGCCATCCAAAACTAAACCAATAATCAATTTTAAAAAATCAATGCATTGTAAACACCCAGTCAAATCGAATACCCAAAGTATCCCTTTCACTCGAATGAATCCCCCAACATAGAGAATGACCTGAGTGGAATTATCTGCAACTCAGGCGATGCAACAGAATAAAAAAAAAACGCAAAAATAAAGACTTTCATTCCATTAAAACGCGTCGTTTCCCCGATTAATAAATGCACAATCTATTCATTTATAGATATTTCCCAAAGTTAGATATAACCAACATGACGAGCAATAATATTAAACACGTCGTAACCAATGACAGTGTTTTCTACTTGGTGGCACTGCAGGAGTGCGTGCGAAGCCCCCTCTTCTCAATTCGATCGATCACCCACAGCATGTATTACAGTGGAGGGACAACTCTGTCTCTTTCTCTAGTTGCTTCTGTCTCGCAACTCCCCCCCCCCCCCCCCCCCCCCCCCCCCCCCCCCCCCCCCCCCCCCCCCCCCCCCCCCNCCCCCCCCCCCCCCCCCGCCGCCCATCTGGCGTTCCCCCTTCATTCCATATCCGCCACTGTGCTGAATACAACAGTAGGGGTCGGTCACAGACTCTCCTCGATGTACTTCACAAGTACATAATACATATGGCCCATGTATGTGCACGGAACACTTGGTAACCATATTTGCTCGATCATTGTGACCTTGACAAGGTGCATGGGAGCTGATATTTATGATTTGAATTGTGGGAATAGTTTTGGAATAGTTCTGATTGTCTACTGTACTCATTCATTTCGAGGATTGATGAGAGTTGACTAATTTTAGGTTTTGATTTTAGCAAATTTTTTTTATTCGTGGAATCGAATTGAGGAAAGTTATGGATTTAGTTCATTTCATTTAAATTTATGATTTATGTTTTGGAATAGTTCGGGTTGTCTACTGGATTCATTTATTTTAGTTCTTCAGTTTGGAGTAATGCGCAACAAGGGAAATGTTTCAACAGTAGATTTTTTAATTTGTTCAGTGATTTGAAAGTTTTCTTATTTCGTCGAAGGAATATTAATGGAGAAATATAATTGATGAATGCATTTATTTTGTTCCATTTGAATTTATGATTTGAATTGCGGGAATAGTTTTGGAATAGTTCTGATTGTCTACTGTACTCATTCATTTTGAGGATTGAGGAGAGTTTGCTAATTTTAGGTTTTGATTTTAGCAAATTTTTTTTATTCGTGGAATCGAATTGAGGAAAGTTAT